TTTAAGCTCCAGGATGGCGTAGTCATAATCAGCCACAACGTTCTCCGAGATCCCTTTAAACCAGCCCTTCGGCACCTGCATCTGTTTCACCCGGGTCCATCGGAACGAGGGCTGCTCGGAGGTGGTGCTGCGGCGACTACGGTTTCTCCTGCCTTTGCCTTTTCTCTCACGCTCCTGCTTCTCTCCAATCTCTATATTTTCATTGATTTCCTCCTCCTCCTCCTCCTCTTCCTTACGCTTCATCTGGCCTTTCCCTTTCCGTCCTTTCCCTTTCCGTCCCTTCCCTTTCCGACGGGAACGTTCTTTCAGCACACCAACGCTGAGTTTCTGTACCCCATCCAGGTAGTCCGTACCATTGTGGATGCAATGAGCCGCAGTCAGGACGTGTTTGGGGGACACCAGCACTCCAGAACACCCTATGGAGATCTTCACAGATGTGGAGAATGGATACTTCAAAGAGTACTGCTTGTCGGCGATGGTAAACCGTGTGTCTGTGCCGTAGACTTCTCGTCTGCGCCGAGTATGTAACCCAGAACCTCCCATCCAGTCGTTGCTCACATTTAGCTCCTGTATTGTGACGGTGGTGAGCGTGCGGGTTCCGTTTTCGTACATGGTCTCATAGGACAGTAGCTGTTCCAGATCGTCCAGGCTGGGCTCTGGGAAACCCCGCTGGCACTCAATGCCACATATTCCGTGGAGCTCAGTCTGCGGCTTGGCCAGAAACTCAGAACTTCCCAGGTGCACTGTTTGCTTTTCTTGTACCAGTGGTACTTTCCTCTGTGGCCAGGTGTAGTCATCGTCACCTGTGGGATCGTCCACTGCTGCAGACACCAGCACAGCCAGTGCTGAGACGCAAAGCAGGAGCGTTAAGGGTACCGGGCCCATTGCAGAGAGACCCCTAGACCAGACAGAAAGAAAAACAGAGAATCAATATCACTTTATATATAGGTATGTAACACTTCATATTGAGGCATTTCAAGAAATTGTCTGTCTTTTGATAAAACATATTCAACTTTGCTTACAAAAGCCCAGAACAGTCAGAGACAAAAATATGAGAACACATTGTGCTAATATTATAAATTATTGGCATTTCCCAAATTTTTTATTTATTTATTTTTTTACATTTAGATGAACTTTTTAGTCAAGCCCAAAGCATACTTTGTTTTTTATGCATATGCTAGGATATGTGTCCAGTGTGCGATTTTTCTAACCTTGTGTACAGCATGTGCTTCGATTTTTTTTCATTTAATTAGTTGTATGAGTCAAATCACTGCATGCAGTATATCATGCATGCAGTATATTTCTTACAGGCATTCATACAAATTAGTGGATCTCATTCCTGGTTCCAGCACTGTGCATTTTGGATGTCTTGATCATTTAGCAAACCTGATTTATTTCATCAGCTCTTTAGTATGCAAAAATAATATTAAGGGGGCCTCAGGAGGAGCGGGCTGGAAGTATTAAAATCAGGAACAGAGGATTACATCAATACAGTTATGACCACTAGGGGGAGACAAATAATAAGACTTTGTAGCACTAGTTCAAGACCCCTGAGAATATGTGAGTGTATATACTGTACAGTTGACCTCATTCCCCATCATCACATTCCACAGATATCCAATCCTAATGTACCTGTTAAGTCAACAACAGTGTTCCCACAGATTCCAAAACAAAACTTTGAATCTGCTTTTAAGATGCACACAATAAAATGTTATTACTAAAGAAATAGTTCAAATAATTACTGAAAGCCAGATTTGCTGCATTAGCTTTAGAGACTAAACAAATGAGTCAAATAGCATACAAAAATGCTCGCATTTAAAAGCTAGTCCCTAAACGACCGGCTGAGACAAAATATCTCCCATTTGAGGAAAATGATGCTGCCTGTGGAGACTGGAGGTTTGTGGCGGGGACTGTATGAATATTGACCCTGTCGGCACTGACTTGAGTATTTTGAGTCAGTGGTTTGGAAATGTTTCCTACTGTCTTGCTAAATGTTAGTATTAAGTATATACTGGGGTTCTGCGGATGGTAATGCAATTGGTACTGTTACCAGTAAATCAGAGTAGAAAATGATAATTTAAACACACATGCACCCACACACACATACAGTACATGCACAAAGTGATCAGCAGCCTACTTCTGCATTCATTTATGTGTCAGGTAAAGCTCTAACTGGAAAAAGTTTTAGATAGGGGTGCATTTTATTTTTCCACCAGACCATCAGTTTGCAGTGTGATGAAAAGATGCTTGACTCTTCCACGCAGGTCACACATGGAATCACACACCACATAAATAATGCACATAAATAATAGGAACAAAGTTGTGGTTTTTAAAAGTATTTATATAGGCTATCTTTGTTATAAATGCAACACGACAGAAATTATTATCCAGTCACACAAAGAAAAAGAAAAAAAGGCAAACCACAACGCCAAGTGTTTCACAGCCACCACTCTTTCTCATTCATCATATGTTAGATTGCTGAACACCCAAGAAAAACATTGACTGCAGCAACATTTTCTAATCAGTAGTCAGTTTAGGGGTGGAGAGTGTGGGTTGGAATATAGATTGCTGCTGCATTCTTGCTTCAGTACTTTCCCCGAGGAGCTGAAATCCCTCTCCTCTCCTCTCACCTCACACTTCACTATGGCATGCCATCGATGTGGATTATCTACAACAGCCACTCTGTCTGTGAGAATCAATCTGTACAGACAATGCTGTGTGGCCTCAGTGGAAGTGTGAGGGGGAAATATGTGCATGAATGTGTGCGGGGAAGTTATGGATCCAGGCAATGACAAATCAGATGTATCACTACTGGAGAGGGCCGTGAGAAGCGAAGCACTTACAAAAGTCCAAACAAATTCCAGTAAGACTATGATGTAAAATGTGCAGACAGTTTGAGCTTTAAAAAGTCTGCAAAACAGACAGACTCAGGCAAACTCACATGAGGTCTGACATGAGGTCTGATCTCTCTATCAACAGTTCTCTTGCTAAAATGAGCATCTGCAATCTGACATTCCTCCATCACTGCTGAAATATCGCTATGACATTTCCGATGGCTTTTCTGTCATAGATACATCTGCCTTGCTCAAAAAGATCTTGAGATGCTTAGATTAGCGGGGAAAAACTGGCTGTAGTGCTAGATGTAGAAAATATCCCTCCATGTCAGCATCACCCCGTTTTTCCATTACAAGGCACAGAAATTTCAGTCTTGCACATTTGCAAACTTTTCAACCAGCTTCATCAACCAAACGGTGGCGCTAATGGTCCCATTTACAATTAAATTTAAAACTAATTCATTCAAAGTTGCCGGATCTTTCAGTGCATGTCTTTCCCTCACCGTCAATCAATCATTTATGGATACGTGAATATTTGCATTGACAGTTATAAGTAATCTGCATGGTAATCGTCTCCTTTGCACAAAAATTACTATGACAACCAGACTTTCCATCAAAACATTTTCCTTTTTTTGCAAGGCCTTATTTTAAAATAAATGTTGTTAGATGAGAGGTCTTTAACATATCCGAACTGTCATTAATTATCATTACTGATATATATTTAAAGTATTCAGTGCATTTTCAACTTGACGAACTCCCTAAACTTTCATGAAAAAAAAACTTAGTTATAGCCCCATCTTTCATAGAAGCTTTGCAATCAATAACTATACTTGAGATGCAAGTATAAGACCATGACACTTAATTTTTTTCCAAAGGCTAGAATGATGAAAAAAAGTGTTTAAGCTTTTTTTTATATACAAAGATGAAAACTTTTACAAGAAAATAATAATAAAATAAATAGCAGCAGTGATAACTCTCTCTGAAGGTGAAATATGCGCCATACCTGCTATCATTCGATTGATGGAGATGTTCAATCCGCAAACAGATGCTTGTTATTTAAGCAAGAACGGTCTAAAAGTTACTTCATCTCAGAGGGTTTTCTGCTGGATGGGCTGATAGTCCGTTTCTTCTCATATCTGCTCCACCTTCAAGACAGGGAGAGCTCAGAGTCGAAGCCCTTGGTATGAATTACACTTGACGTTTAAGGGAAAGGTAGGGAGGAAAAAAGTCCCAACAAGAGTTTTGTATAGGGGAGGGACCATCATGCTCTGCAACGATGGAGCGGAGAAAGTGAAGTTGAGAGAGCGTTCACCACTTAATCTTAATGAATCGTGGGATTTGAATAAATCTTTATTTGACATGTCAAAGAGTCGCTTATATCCAGAATTCAAAGGGGCTTTCCACTGATTCGTTCCACTGAGAGCACAATAGCGCAGCAGCGGCTTTATTGTGGTTCGGTTTCGTTCCCACATCACTGACACTTGTGTCCGTGTACATGATGTGGCAAACACGCGAGCAGGGGGTCTGCCAGTTAAAAGAACGCCTCCAAAGTTGCACAAGTATGCAGATTCTTGTTTGGGTCGATGACGTCACGCTCCTTTTTCGTCTGTATCTATTCGATCATTAACAAATTAGATAAAATAGCCTACATATCATGCAAAAACCGACTTTCTGTGACGAATGTGTTTTCAATTTCTGAATTCTCTTATATATTTTTGTGAGACTAAATACATAAATGTGATTAACTACTATTTAAAAAAAACTAATAGTATTAATATTTGAAAAACTTGTATTGCCAAATCAACGTGTAGGAAGCAATTTTGGTGTCATGTGACAGAACAGGAAATTGTACACTTTCATGACTGTCTCAGGGTAAGGTTTTGTTATAAATATAACTTTTTGATCTTTTTATTAAAAAAGCATTTTTTTGTTCAGGTCAAATGAAGTAACCCTATGAAAATGTTGCGATATTCATGATTTTTTAACCTACATATGTTGTAAACTTCATGACATTTACTTACATTTCTGTTTATCATCCTTATTTGTCATTGACTCATGCAAATGTAAAGGTTTTATGTTCATTCACCCTTTACTTCATATGTGCGCAGTCTCTTTAGAATAGTTAGTTTGTTCATTGCCATTTATTCATTGCTTCATTTGGTGAGATTAACACTATCAAAAGTGTTAATTTTTCCACCTAATGAGGTGCGGTAGCTCTGAGAACCTGAATGACTGGGTTTTATTTTTTCCAAGAAATTAAAGAGGCCACCAAACAATACTGTTGTGTGTAGACACTTCAGAATTAAATGCACACATTCATTTCCTATTGAAGTGACTGCTGGAACAAGAAAGAGGCATTGAGATGCAAGAACTGACTTTAGATGTGATATGTCATATACATTCAGGTATATTGCCTTTTTTCTTGTTTCTGTTCTAATTCTCATTCTTAAAATCACCTTTCAGTCTTGCTAATTTTTCCCAGAGACTCAGGGAAAGGGTCAGTCTTTCAGGTTCCACAATGTAGGCTCACATCAGCACCCTGTGAGGTTCTCTGTCAAGTCTGAACAGAGAAAGGTGATCTCATTGCTTTAGACTGCGGCCTCCACCCTCTGAATAAGAGAATGTGCCCCTACAATGATCATCTTGAGCTTGCTCTCAATAGAAGGTGTGTTATTTCTTATTTTTTGCACATTGGCATTATTTATTTTATTTTATTTTATCAGATCACATGACACGAAATGATGGAGGCAGAGTGGGGGGAATCAAACTCTTGTCTCCTAAATAAGAGCCACTTCTATTTGTCTGTAGCATGTGCACTAGCTGATCTGATATTGTTATGGCTAAAATGTATGATACATTTCATATCTAGCAGAACCCATAAACTGTTACATGAGTGTTTGGCAGAGTCACTCTGAAAGGAATGGCCTTACATGATATTTCTGCTCTTGGTTGTGCGATACACGGGTTCCATAGAAGGTTATTTGTCAGGAGAATCAACTCTTTATGAAGCGATAGGTTTTGTGCAAGCATATGCTTTTTGAAGATTGTGTCACTGAATATTGCAACTATAGTGTTTGCTTTGAGTATTAGTTTCTTTAAAAATAGTTTGAGATTCAAACCAGCATTGTGTCTTTGCATCTTGATAGTCTTCAGTAGACAAAACAACAGATTAATCTCCTCTTAACTAGGTTTGCATTGGCCATGACTGGATTCCAGTGGATGCTTAACAGCATGTGGTCAGATTTCACTCACGCTGCTAACAGTCCATCCATGATTCCATTTATATGCTAAAGAAGACAATTTGCTTGAGTTTAAGGGAACGTGAGTGTTGTGTTGAGTGGCTGCTCAGGCACATCCTTAGAGAGTCGACGAAGGCTATGTACTGTAGATTAAAGCGTCATGTGTTTATTTATGCAGGTCATGGTCATAAACCATCTCAGCAGGCCTTCACCTTTCCATGGCTTATTAGAGCTTCCTGCCAGACAGAGAGAGCCATTTACAGGGAGCCGCTTTCCTAACCAGCCCCCCTCTGCCCTGTAAACTAGCTGGAAGATAACTTTAGGTTAGCCCTACAGATTTTGTTGACAGCCAATATTTAGACATATTCAAAAGTGTGAAAGGTCAGGCTGCAGTGTCATTATATAGCAAACATACAATCAGTGCAGCAAACATATGTACTGTATGCACTACTGTTCAAATGTTTGGGCTCGGTACGATTTTTTAATGTTTTTGAAAGAAGTGTCTTATGTTCACCAAGGCTGCATTTATTTGATCAAAAATACTGCAACATATTGTGAAATATTATTGCAATTTAAAATAACTGTTTTCTATTTTAATATATTTTGAATTGCAATTTATTCCTGTGATGGCAAAGCTGAATTTTGAGAAGCCATTACTCAAATTCAAAGTCACGCAAACTTTTGTGATAACTAAAATATTTTTTTCAGGATTCTTTAAAGAAATAGAAAGTTCAAAATGACTAATTATTTGATTTTTTGTAATAATGTAGAAGCCTTTGCTGCCATTTTGATTAATTTACTGAATCCTTGCTAAATAAATGTATTAACATAATAAATAAATAAATAAAAACTTTAATGTATACATCAAAGATATTACTTTTGTAGACAGATGTGAAGCAATTTTTAATTATGAATTTTATTTTTTAATATTGTGATAAACATATAATAGAATTTATTTCAAATAATTTTTTGGGCACTTTGAACTCTACAAGATTTGTATCAAAGATCTTGTTAAAATATATATTTTTTTCCTTTTTCTTTTGCCCATGCCCACGTTACACATCCAGCACTGTGGTTCAAACCACATTTTCCCCTCTGGAGGAATTATTTTTTTTTTTTTTTAGATGTTCATGCATACAGGAAGTTATAAGGATGTCCAATGTCTTGATAAAAGTAGCCCACCAAGACTCCTGCTAAAGTGAGACACTTGGACAGACTTCTCTAAGAGACATGACCTCCTGTGCTCGAGGCGAAGCTGCCAACATACACAAGAGAGGAGCAGAGCACTTCAAGCATGCAAACAGCTAATACAAACTAAACAGAAATGGTTCCTAAGCAAACACACCGATTTGGCACAGGGAGTCATTCTGCTCCGATATTGGCCCAGACTTGGTCTACAATTCAACATGTAAGTGTTCTCAAGTCAGAAGCTTGAAACAAGTTCAACATTTTACAATGAAAGGATAAATAGATGTTGACTTCCATTTTTGGTTGAGAGTTTTGGTTGGACTGTTGCCTTCAGCGTTTCAGTGTCAAGAGTTTGTTAACTAGTGTTTCACAGTCAGGGTCCTGTTGAGTGAGCTCACAGGTTATTTAGTTGCTCTGCTAAATCTTAAGTGTAATATATACAAGATTTTTGTACAAAGCACTCACAGTCAGACTCTGAAGACTTGCACTGAGGTGTCTTCAGAGAACTTCTGGGTTAGAGGTACCTAAAATAGTCACATACCAAAAACACAGACACATTCTTTGCTTGAGATCAAAAAAGTTATTCAAACACCAATGCTAGTACAGAATTCAGTATACCCAGACCAGAAATCAGAAGTTAAAGTGCTTGAATTACATTGTGACATCTGCATAACTGCCAATGAGCTTCTTGTCTGTCAAAAAAGTCAAGTATTTACATATAGCGGTAAATTGTTAAATCACACTGGCCTCACTATTTGTGCTAGATCACTTCAAAGAACCAAGTTCAAAAGCAGCTCTTATTCCCCTTGTGTGACCTTTGACTTGCCTTGCATTTTTCAGGCGAGTCTCATTACGCTGTATGGCTGGTTTCATTGTGCTTCTCCTTATCTCTCAGTCTGTCTCATTTTGTATTTTGTATATATATATATATATATATATATATATATTTTTTTTTTTTTTTTAATCACCTGTTCGTGTGATAGCATGCTTGATTACCCAATCAACCCCTGCCAAACACGTGCAAACACTTTGCATGATCACGTGAGATGATTAATCATAGCAGCATCATAGTCAATGATGGAAAATTTTCATGCTGACATTCGGAGCACTGTAAAGAACAAGTCAGTGGTTTTGCAAGAATTTGCCAGATTAGTGGCATTGAAATATATAAAAGATATTCAGAGTTTTGCTACTAAGGTACTCGTTTGCAATACTTACATGAAGAACTGTATATTATGCTATGTTTTCTGACTGTGAAATAATCTTTTCTTTATCAAAATTTTAGATTTAATGACAGAATTTTTTGTTGTTGTTTTTGAAAATTTTGTGTTTTTACAGAATTTGAAAGTTTTTATTTTTGTTATTTATTATTTTATTTTAATAATTTATTTATATGTAATAAATTTAATTTAAGCATGCATAAAGACAAAAGTTTCAACATTTAATATTTAATGTTTTTTTCTTTAATAAACTGTAAATAAATACCTTATTTTAAAACATAACTGCGATTTACTGTGGAAGTGAATACATTTTGACCCGCTTTTTGGTTACATGACATTTCAATGCCAGAAATGACACACTTGTCCTTCAAATAACATATAAATAAATAAATAAATAAATGTCAATGGCATAATATTAAATAATTTTATCTTATCTTATCTTATCCCTAAACTGCATGTGAAAGCAAATCAAGCTGTGCTTGGTCACTTTACATCTCTTCCTATATTTCAGACACACATATATAGCTCCAACTTCACTCACCTGCTCTGTAAGTGCCCTTTTATCAGTTAAGAGTCTGCATTTCAGAAGAACTGAATATAAAATTGATGATAATTTCTGTCTGGAACTCTCCGTCCTTCCCTGTCTGTCACTGACACCAGGCGAACTCGGAAGTCTGTGTGTGTTCCTGTAGTTCTGTGGAAAATCACCAGGATCTGAGGTGTGTGTTCCCCTTGGCTCACCCCTGCTGATGTTTTTATTGGGATATAATGATTGTGCTTGTTAAAATCAGCAGAAATCCCTCAC